CCACATCGTGGATGATGGATCTCGGAGATTGAAACAGTTCCATCCCACCAAATCCCCGCATTAGCATAAAAATCTGCATCACTTCTCCATGTAATAACTTTCTCTCGATCGCATCGAGGCGAACAGAGCTTAAAGTTCCCCGATAGAAAAGCCCCTTAACTCCTCCCAATCGCCCTAATTGCTCCTCGCTCCACTCCTATTTCTTTCCATTCGAACGGATGAATGTCACACTGACGAACGGCATTCTCTTCTCGGTCTGGTGGATTGTTTTTCGCCCTTGCGTAAAACGTCGCTTCGTCTTTGCTAACTGCAACACGCCGCAAGCATCCCGAACGTAATTTATTGCCTTTGAAAGTCATAATGGACACGTGTTTACGAAATGTCGGAGTCTCGCAAACAGGACGAAACGGAAGATGTCAGAATGACGAATCGCCTGTTCCGGTGAGAAGTCGGGGACGTCACGGCAAAAGTGGCCAAACGCCAGGAAAACCACCAGTACCGCCACTACCATTTGCCTATCTCCATTTGGAAAGCTGGAACGTGCTCAAGAGGGACTTTCAGTCGTCTTCTGTACGAAGCGATTAAAACGAAATGTCTTCGGCGGTTTCACCTTTGCGTTCTCGTTCCTACGACTATAAACGCCCGCCGACCGTGTCCGTCGGAGGGATCGAAAATCGCTCTTTTGCCCTCTGCCTGAACAGTTTCGCACCGAGTCGCAGCTCTTCGTGGCCATTCTTTTTGCGCAGGGCGATGTTTCAGGAAGAGAATAAGCAAACCGACATCCATGCAAGTTAAAGCCCTTCACTTTCAACCATTTTAGTGCAGTGCGAAAAAAGCTAAGGAGAAACTGAAAAAAAAAGTTGGTTCATCCCCACTACCCAGTCATGTAAGGCTCTGAAGTATTTCATTATTTAAGTACAATATCAAACATATACTAAATATTTAAATGTATTTGGTGCTTTTGATGAGTTGAAATTTGCATGCGATTGAAAGCGTAACGAGTACAAACTCTTATAAGTACTCATGCTTTTCATATTATGTGAATCAATAGAAACGGCCGATTCTAGCCATCTGGAAAAAGTTGCTAACTGATGTTAGTACTTCTCATGTATCTCATGTACTTTAGAGTTGCCATGGTTCAGTACCAGTCTGAAGAATATATCATGGAATTATTTATTTTTTGATAAACACTCCAAATGCGCTTGTATTTATGTACAAAATTAAACAAGGAAATAATTATTGTTCTTAAGGAAAAAAAAACTCGTACTTGCTCGTGTACTCGAACAAGTTTTGGTTCTTAATGCACCACTGCCACTTGATGCACTTAAAGAAATATTCATTCCAATTTAAAACCCAACACGTCCAATCGTCGTGGCACAACAAGGTAACAGCGCATACATGAACTCTACGTATAGACTCAACAGTCTGAGAAAGAACTGGGACCTTGTCTGGAAAGAAGGCGTAAGAGAAGAGGAAATAGGGGGTTATCAGTAATTCAATCTAGCTCCGAAGTGTGACAGGGGACCGAGGAAGACCTTTTTCCCCTTATTTTCCATGTGAAGACGGAATTCCCCCAATGCGCTAATTGGGTTTATTAGGAGAAAGGCTTCTCATTCCTAGTCGGTCTGGCCCACCCCCTTTCTGCCCAAAATCTTCTCCTCGTCATCGTGCTCGTCGTGCCCGATCTGCTGCGAGGTCAAGACGAGATAATATTCGACGAAATGGACGGCGGGTTCCGTTTGTTCCATTTCCCAATTTCTGTGGTCCTCCTTGAACCTTTTGTGTCCACCTGGTGAAGCAGGCGGAGACAACAGGCTGTCTAACTCGTGAGACCTCATGCGTCTGGATGGAGGGAGATGTAGCCTTCCCGCCTCTCCACTGCAGGAAGGCTACATCTCAAATTTGATTAAGGGGAGGGGGGCGGAGCAATCGCGTAGATAGATAACGCGTTCTCGTCTGCTATGAACCCTTGTATAAAAAAAAAATGACGTCGAACCTAATTTCGCCAAAAAGAAGAGGCTTTCTTGCAACCCAGCGCCGTCATGAGCCCCCTTGTCAGCGGGTGGGCTAGGAACTCAGTGGGGAAGCAACTGCCTCCGCCGAGTTATTTACCGTCTGCTCCCCAGACAGAATCCTAGACGGAACCGTTCTTACGGATTTGGGCTCTTGGCCTCCAGCCCATAGAGTGTATACGAGGGGTGTTTACAAAGTTCTGGGAATTTACGTGATAATTTTTTTTATTAGGCTAATTTTCTTCGATATTACAGTGTAATTTTTCAACATAATCACCATTTAGCTGTATACATTTGTGCTAGCAAGTAACTAATTTTTTTAGTCCATCTTCAAAGAACTTTTGTGGAGTACGTTCTATCCACTCATTTATCGCTGCTTTAACTTCAGATAGAGACTCAAAATGGAATCTTCGAAGAGGTTTCTTCGTTTCCCCAAACAGATGATAGTCGCTGGGAGCCAGGTCTGGAGAATAGGGTGTGTGTGGCAGGAATTCCCAGCGCAGACCTGACAAAACGGCCTTCGTAAGACGAGCAGTGTGCGGCCTCGCATCGTCTTGCTGCAGTAACAGTCGGGAATGGAGCTTTTCTGGCCGTTTTTTCTCGAGTACCTCACGCAGTGGTCCCTTCAGCAAATCAGAGTAATATTGTGCATTTATTGTGGAACCTTTTTGTCGATAATCGATCATGATTGTTCCCAGGCAATCCCAAAACACCGTTATCAAAACCTTACCAACTGATGGCATAGTCCTTGCTTTAAGCGGAGGACCATCAAAAGGTCGCCGTCATTCCATGGACTCAATTTTTGTCTGTGGATTAAAGTAAGATATCCAGGTCTCCTCTGTCGTGATGATTCGTTGCCAGAAACTATCCCCATACTGTTCCTATAAAGCCAACAACTCGGAACAAACCACACGATTGAGTTTCTGTTCTGGCCCCAACAGCCACGGTACCCATCGTGCAGAAACCTTGTTCACTCCAAGACGATCGTGTAAAATTTCATGAACTTTTCTGGAACTGATGCATACGCTTGTTGCAATCTCGCGAATGGTGATTCGTCTGTCTTCCATGAAAATTTTCTCCACAGCGACATTTTCTTCGTTAACGGCAGTGTTTGATCGACCACTGTGGGGATCATCTTCACGACTCGTTCTTCCATTCTTAAAGCAATCGATCCAGCAATGGACGGTACTTTTAGATTCAGAAGATTCACCAAAAACAGCTTTCAAACCTTGAATAATTTCAGACGTCCTAACACCTTCCTTCCATAAAAATAAAATTATATCTCTTTGAGAATTTACCGCGTCTTCCATGACTGACAAAGTGTACCCTACGTGAACACTGACAACTTCTTACTGACGCATGCCCAGTGTATAATATTTTGCAGTCGTGTTTATGACAAGCCTAAGCATGTGTGACCAACTTTGCGGTAGGCTTTGATCAGCCGTTGCAGTGATAGAACAAAATTCCCAGAACTTTGTAAACACCCCTCGTAGATGTCTCTGGAGAGGCCTTTGCTGCCTCGAGAGTTACAAGCAGGGGGGGTCGGAGAGGTGGGGGTAAAATCTTGCGCATGTGATGACGTTAGCGAAACGTTCCACTATAAAAGCGGGTGCTTTGGTCTTGAGGATATCACTACCTCCCTGCCTAAGGCCAAGACAGGTCGCACATACTTCCTCATGTCTCTCATAGCTGTAATACATCTACTCTCGTTTATCAGAGCCACCTAGGCAGCATCGTACATACATTGCCGACCAGTTCGTTGATTTCGATATTCTTAGGTTCCTTTATTTCATTCACTCTCTTAGTAGCAGTTGTTATGAAGGACAGTGGCATGGATTGCATTGTCGCATCCTCAAGGAATACTTATAGGACTCTGCAGGCATGAAATATTTCCTTCAATGAATTTCCAATATGCCTAGACGGAGAAAATGAATGGCTTCAATTGCTTTGAATAAAATCTATCCACAGATATGATTTTGTGTGCTCGCATCCCTTCTCCTTAGATTCCTATCATGATCGAAACGCTATAAGGCGGTTGAAAAAGATGCCATACCAATAGAGAATCTTGCCGAAGATTCAACGCAACTTCCCACGTTCACGTTAGGCGTCTAACGTGATTTTGGGACCATTTGACGGTCTGACGATCCATTTCAACTGATGGAGGACCAGCAGGTCTCCTCATGAGAATGGGAACAATGACATAAAGTCATCCTACCGGATGACCATGAATGCTCATTGTTTAGAAGTAGAAATCCTTCGTCAGAAGCTGAAGAGAGCTCAGGAGATAATGAAGTTGAGAAAAATTATTTCCACTCGGTGCAAAAAAGGAACAGTCGTCGAAGATCTCCGAGGAAATGTGTCTATGATTCAAAAACTCGTTCACCAAGGAATATTCACAAATACTCAATTGTGAAATAAGTTATCAAATGCAAGTACCCGTATATCCATCCATTGGCTATTGGGATCTTCATACCTACCAGAACTCTTCTAGACTGAGACACCTGAATAGGGAAAATGTAGTGAGGATGAACCAGGATCGTTAGGAATTGAAGTGAAAAAATTTGGAATAATGGTGACGGAAAAAATATTTTCATGACAGCTCCGATCCAAGGTGAGATGGAATGACATGGAATTCACAAAACTCACACCAAACAGAAAGAGATTTTCGGTGAAGAGGACATTTTCATACGTTTCGGATTTCGCGATGTCATTGTTTTGCCTGGATTCCCATGCCAAAGGCGCGCTTGCTACCCTGTGTACTTACACAGCATACCCAAAAGTGCGAGGCGTTCCACCCCCCCAAAACGCGTTTCTGCGCAGATCTAAGAGGAGTCTCTCCGACCAGGCGTGATCGGTTACAAGCAGAGACATGGTAAGTATACCTAGACTGGACATGGCAGTCGAAGATTTCACGCCGATTTGAAGGGCTGGCGACCATTACTGATGGCGTCAAGGAGAGGATGAGGCATGGGATTCATTGAGGCGCACATGGTCAATGTGTTCAGGATTCGTATACTATGAAAGACCACTGACTGGGTTGGGTATCAGGTCTTACAATGATGAATCTGGCTTGATAACTATTGACCCTTTTGCGGGATCTAACCTTAGGTGTGGCGGAATTTTCATAGCCTGCTGAACAGCCTCATGTAGACCCTGAGCCTAACTGCATGGGGAACTGATAATACGCCCTCTTATTATTGAGTGCAATGAAAATAAAGACGGAATAGGTGGCATTAATCAATTTTCAAAATACCATGCATCGTCTCTGAAGACCAGGTAGGCCTAGGTCTAGGCCTACGCGGTCTTCTTGGAGAGCGTCAAAACTGTGTAGTGTGGCGTCATGAATTGGAAAGCTATGCGTTTATTGGTGGATTTGACGCCATGAGCGATGGCGACTGACCCTTCTAATCGGCGTGTGGCTGCCTGGCTTTCTCCATTGGCCTGTCCAGTCTAGGTATATTTACCATGTCTCTGGTATTACCGTCATATGTCGAGGACTGCCTGTACAATATGATGTCTTCAAAAGAATTGAGACTACTTTTTTTGTATGAGTTCAAATCGGGGCACAACGCAGCTGTAGCCGCGAGTAACATTGACTTGGCGTTCGGGAAAGGGACTGCTAACCAGCTGACTATTCGGCGGTGGTTTGAAAAATTTCGATCTGGAGACATGAATCTCGAAAATGAGCCCCAAGGAAGGCCTGAATCTGTTGTGAATGAAGAACATTTAAGAGCCATTTTGGAAGCTAACCCACAAACGACAGTTTTGGCTCTTGCAATAGACCTAGGTGTTTCTATTGCAACTGTTTCTTGACACTTGGCTGCAATAGGAAAGGTGAAAAAATTGGAGAAATGGGTGCCGCACAAATTGATGGACAGTCAGAAACTGTGTCGCCTGGAGGTGTGTTCATCGCTGATGGTCAGGAACAACAAAGAGCCATTCTTGGAGCGAATCATTACCTGCGACGAGAAATGGATCCTGTACAATAACCGGAAAAGAAGTGGACAATGGTTGAATGCTGGTGAAGCTCCAAGACATGCACCAAAACCGCCATTGCACCCAAAAAAGGTCATGGTGACAGTATGGTGGTCTGCAAAGGGAATCATGCACTATTCTTTTTTGCAACTGGGACAATCAATTACAGCAGAATCATATTGTCAGCAAACTGAAATTATGCATAAAAAATTGGCCACTGAACAGCCAATATTGATAAACAGACAATGACCGATTCTGCTGCATGACAATGCTTGACCCCACACGTCACGAACCACCGTGGGAAAATTAACAGAATTGGGCTATGAAGTTTTGCAGCATCCACCATACTCACCTGACCTTTCACCAATGGATTATCACCTTTTCCGTCACTTGGAGCTGTTTCTCCGGAATAAAACATTCCGGGACCGAGAGGCTGTAATTGGAGCATTTGAGGAGTTTGTTAATTCAAAAAATGTAGAATTTTATAGAAATGGAATATTTTCCTTAGTATCCCGTTGGGAGAAGACAATTCAAGCTAATGGAGCATATTTTGATTAAATGAAATTTTATTTGTTAAAAATATAGCCTTTTAAATCTCATCTTCAAAATCAGACATTTCATGTGAAACAACCTAATAGAAATGGATTTGAAGGTTTTTTATTGTTTACATGCTCCTGAATCATGTAACTTTATGGGGTAATAGCACTGGATTCTGCCATCATCAAAGTACTATGAACTTTGACATGTCTTAGTCAGCTGTTTGAATGGAAGCAGGCTTAATCAGTTGCTAGCCATACTGAAGAACTGCTAGAATGTTGTGTGCCATCTGAAATTCACTAAGGCAGTGAATTTTTTGTGCATCTTTGCATGCTATCCTACATATACAAATAGCTTCAGAAAATTTGTAGAAAAATGTTCTCAGAGACTGGTTTTCAGTCTGATCACAATGGCAATTGATGGAAATGTTAATGACGTAGTTTCTAACCTGCTACAATTGTGGCACTGCTGACTACTTTGAGGGAAATTGTGAGAATGTGAGTAGATGAACAATAACAGAAAATGAAACTTCTTGAAGCTACTTTTAGAATGCTGGGCATATCTATGTTAAAGGGAATTTCATTAATTTGTTTGAAGAATACACATTAATTGGAAGGAGGGGGACATGTATTAGACTCTGTGTCTAACTTAATTTATTATTGATCTGTATTTTTTTGTCATGGTCCTATCCTATGCAATGAGGTACATTTCCACAAGATAAAAATGGTTGAATATAGTCATTAGATATAAAAACTTTCAGAGTAGTAAACCATTCCAAAAAAAAAATTGTTATGGCAAAACAGCAAGCGAGACAGACACTTCCATCTTTCTTTCATCCTGTCAAGACTCTTGCAATAATTATGAAATATTGTGAATTGAATCAAAGATGGCTAAGAGAGCTTTCCAATGTTATGCAATTCACTATGATCCCTATATGGAATTTCTAGGAGTGAACAGGAAAGAACTTGAAAGGCTCACTTCTCAGATTTTGTTTAGAATAGGATAAAAGCTAGGCAAAATACTTAAATGAATATTTAAGCATTAACTATAGCAGGCTATAAAATAAAACTTATTTGACAGTTTCAAATTACTTTGTTATATATATATTAATAAATTGTTGCTGCAAGAACAAGTTACTAGGATTAAATTCCTAATCATATAAAATACTGAGAAAAAATTAAATGCTTCAAAAGGCATTTGACAGAGTATATCCTAGATAGTTCATGAAAAAGGTGTTTCCTTGGAAACATTTCTAATTGAAAACTTCATAGCATTAAAACTGTCACCTATTGTTTTTGTGAAAGGAACCTGGGCATCTCATGCCTGTCATTCAAAAGTCTGTGTTCTTGTAATTCACATGGTGTTTTTTTCTTTTGTTCTATTTTTCTTTGTTTGATGTGGTATATAGACCTATTATGCTACTTGTGATAGGGCAATTTCTCATGGCTCTGAACTTCTTACATGAGTAATGAGGGTATTCCTGCTGGATGGAGCTGAGTATTACATTTTGATTTTAGGATTCTGGGTTCATCACAGAGGTTCACCATGTAAATGGAGAAGGAGAAGATGGTGGTGTGGTTTACTGTGAGATGCAAGCCATTGAGACAAAAGGAGAGAACTTGGTTGAACGCGAATTTTTGCGTGCCATGTATCCCGAGAATTGTGGTTACCGCTATGAGACAGGTGGAGTTATGAAGAACTTGCGAGAGAGTACTAGCAATGTGAAGGTAGTGATTTCACAGAATTCATCAGCAACCCTTATTGCAAATCCTTGCACTCCTTTTAGTATCTACTTTCTTCATTCCCATAGATTCATGAGTTCCATAAGAAGTTCTACCAACCTGAGAATACCTGGGTCATCATCACTGGCATGGTCCCTGATGAGAAACTTCTCAATGCTCTCTCAGAAGTAGAGGACAATATCCTAGCAAAAGTAAGCATATGGTGTTTTTAAGTTCATTCCAAAGGAGAGTTGTTATTCATTGGAGCAAGTGTGCTATGCTAACTTCTCCAGCCAAAGAAGAAACTGATAACTTCCTAAATAAATTATTTTTGCAGAGAAAATTATTGAAAAATTAGTGTTTTTCCCTGAAGCTCCCTAAAAACCATAAGTAAAATTTAATAATGCATTGCTTATGTATATCCTTGAGATTTCAGTTTACCTTGAAGTTGGTAGGAAAGCTTCTGCAAAATTAAATGTACCTTGATGTTTTCCTTGTGACTCATACTATTTTGGATGCTTCAGATAACAAGTAATCCTCTTCCTCAGGGACAGAGAGGCTCATACATACGTCCATGGATGACTCCTGTGCCTCCTCTCACATCATCTGTGGAGATTGATGTTTACTTTCCTTGCAATCAAGAAGATAATGGCATGGTGCAAGTGGGCTGGAGGGGCCCATCGGCCATGAATGATCAGTACAAGTGAGATGATGATCCTGTGGTCATTAAGTTTCTTTTCTTGAGTGTATTCTTCATTACATCTCTTCCTCTTCTCATTATTAGGTTGTCAGCCCTGGGAGTTCTCTTTGAATATTTGACAGACAATGAGATCAGTCCTCTTTATCACCAGTTCTGTGAAGTGGAGGAACCCCTTGCTAGCTGTGTAGGCTGCTTCTGTTGGTCATTTACTATCATGTGACATCCTTGTCGATCAATATTTATGCCATGTCAAAAAATTTCTTCATTTAACACTATCATGCCTATACCTGTCATACGACGTCCTACTCCCTTTATATTCAAATTGGTAGGCTTGAAAGCAATAAAGGTATTCTTGGGATTCACATTTTGAGCAAAAGTTCCTCAGAAAGGTTTACATTACCCTCTAAATTACACTCATGGAATTTGTTTAACTTTTGCTTTTTAGGTATCTTTCACCATTTATGAGAATTTGACTTCAGCTGTGGCGGTCACCCTGGAAAACATTCCTATTGCTTCCATTGCTGATGTGAAGGAACCTTTTTTTGACACTTTGAAGAAGGTTCATAGCCAAGAAATCCCATTCAGTGAGACTCGCATCCAAACGCTGCTTCATCAGAAGAAGATACGAATCCTTGCTGACCTGGAACAGAGGGCATTGGATATCATAGCAGAAGACATCATTAGTTTTCAACTCTATGGCAACTCTGCAAGTGATGTGAGAGGTTTTTTATTCTTCTCATTAAAGGTTCTTATCTATTATATAGGGGCCTACCATCCCAGGGATCATTGGCAGAGGTCATGCATAGACATAGACTATCCTAACTTATTAGGATAGTCATGAAATTTCAATTTCATGAAATCTTGAAGTGTTCATTGTGCATATGTTAGAAGTGTTAGGATATCCACATGCACATAAACACACGTGAAAAGGAAACTTTATTTTATTTCTGAACATTGAAGCTGCTTAAGTTTCCTAAGAGTCACTTTTTTTAAACTAATGCCAAACACATCTGTGGTAATCTTTAAAAAAAGGATTATCTCATGACTAATTGCGTCTGAGGTACTCAAGGTTAAATATACCAATAACACCTCCATGGCACTGGATTGAAAATTAATATCTCTTAGCTTGGTACCAAACTTATTCTTGCAGGCTTTCACTACTAAGTGCAGAGTGCAAAAATATCTGAAGAACCTGTAAATAATTGACCCTCTGTGGCCATTGAAGACTGCCATTTTGCAGAAATCAATTATTTTTTGCTATCCTGTATATTTTAGCCACAGCCAGGTACAGAAATGGGAGTGGTGCTGAATGAAAGTTGTTGCTAAGGAGAGCATACCCCTAATAGTTTCATTTTGGTACCTTCTCATAGTTAGAAGTTACTCAGCCTAAAGCTTCGAAAATAGCCAACAAGTCAAACATATTTTCCAAATCCCACTATTGCATTTAAATGAAATTATGAATTCAAAGTGATGAAAGAACTTCTTTGGTATCTTGGAAAAAAGTTGCTTTTCTTTACAGCCACATTCTGTACTATTGGAACATAAATCTTGTGTTTCTTTGAATTTGTTGCCTGTAGCTAAGTAAATTTCAATCCTATCAAAATACTGCCAGCAGCTGCAGTGAAACCTTTCTTAGTCTATGAGGAACTAATTTAAGAGCTTAAAAGGTTTTCTTTTTGTAGCTCTTGATATTACCTCTTTTTGCTGTAAATATAAAGCAGATCAGTAATGAGCCAAGATTACTATTCATCTCATCCTTTATAGTTTACCTAGAAACCCAAGACCCTTCACAATAAAAAATTAACTATTCATGAACAAAGCTTCTTTTTTAAAATTCACTCTGACATTATCCACATTCACAACAGAAGTTAGTGAATAAAAGAAATGCTTTTATAATCTGCTGGATATGCTGGTAACACTGTCACTGCTGGTGCTTGACTGGCTCTAACTCTTGGTACCATATGATGTTGACAATTGTCTGGTGCCAAACCTTCACCTAAATACTGTATGAGGGAAAATTCACTTCTAGGTGATATACGTGGTGTCTCATAGAGAATGTTCAAATTTTGACCTTGTGTACAGTGATATCTTTAATGCGCAAAAATACACTATTTGAATGGTTACAATTCAAGTTAGCAGGTTGCAATGAAACATGTAAATTATACACTTGAATTATTGTCTTCCATGTTGAAGACTATAAGACTAATAGATCCACTATGGGAGGGTCTGAATATTTCTTGGCTTGATGATGTATGCTGTCTTTGGCAACATCCCACTGCCAGTAATTACAGGCTATGAGGGCAGGTGACCATGGAGGCCATTCAACTGGACCTCAACTGGGTTATAGTTATAATGAAAGACTGTATCAGAGCACAACCAGAAGGCAGTTTCTCATTGGTACTAATTTGCTAATAGACCTATATTGCTTCATTCCAATAGTAAGTCACCTTTTTAGACTGTGTTGACTTGACATGGAATGATGTGTGCTCACCCTATGTACTACTTTGCTACAAGGATGAAGGGGTAGGAAGGTCAGCTGACAAATGAGGTGGAGATAAAAGATCTGGTGAAATGAAAGGGTGTCTTGTAGACCACCCTGTGTGCCATTTGTGTGGCCTCCAGCCCCAGAAAGATTTCTCATGCTTTGTGTACAGGAAACACTATCTTTATTATTAGAACTATGTGATACATTCATTTCAATGACAGCTTGGGATATGTAGCAGTAGTAGTTTGTCAGTAGAGAAAGGAAGTCAACCTCCTCTGTCTCCACTGGTGAACCACTACTGCTGCACATCACAAGCTGCCTCTGATACATTTTGTGCTGGAACTGAATGGGAGGAATCCCATACGTTAGGGATCTATCTTGATAAATCTTCTGTAGCCCTATACATTGCCAACAGAAGCATACTTGTGGATGGACTTAAGCCACTTTTAATGGTCAAATATTTCGATGAAAGGAAAAATTGACCTATATATTGGTGGCAAATGAGGTTCTTTACCTTTGTACTCTTGATATCAAAGCAACTCCTTCCATTGCATCAGATCCCAGTACAACTTGAGCCTCATATCATTCACTTATTTTCCTTTTTTAACCTACATTACAGCTGAACTTCCGCCTGAATTTACACCATTACCTGGAGCAGATGAAATCTGAGCCTGTCTCATTCTGGCTGGACTTGCTGAAGGAGGTCACTCTGGATCAGCCTTATGTATTCATCGCAGGAAAACCCTCTGTGAAAAAAAAGGAGGATTTGACTGCTATGGAGAAGGAGCGAATACGGCTTCAACAAGAGAACCTCGGTCCTGAAGGCTTAGCTGAGAGAAAGAGGGACTTGGAAAGGGCCATGGAAGCAAATGAGGTGAGTCATTCATAGTCAGCACCCAGTCATCAGTTTAGGAATTGGTAGATCATGTGTGCTTAGAATCTCTGATATGATATTCTGTAGGGTGTCCATAAAACCCCAATCTGCTTTCTTGAAAAACTCAGTTTTGGACACTGTACTTTGAGAACTGTGCCTTGCCAGCATGTTTCCTTTTGTATTTTTGGAAGTTATTGCTTGGTGTCTTTGCATATCATGGAGTTATAGGTGCAACCATCAAAGGAACTCCTCCAGAGTCTGCCAGTGCCTGATTTGGAAAGCATCAAATTTCTCTCCCTTGAAACATTCTCTAACATTGGTCCACAAGCAAGAACATCAGCACCCTCTTGGCAGTTGTCTGCTTTCCCTTTGAAAATCACTGTTGATCATGTGAAGTCCAACTTTATCTGGGTGAGAACTTCATTTGGATAACCTGCAACTTTGCAGGAACCTGCACTTTTGGTGATAATGATTTATTTGCTGGATGCTCCCTTGTAGGTGCAACTATTTGTGGATATCTCAAAGCTGAGCAAGACAATCCGAGCTTACCTGCCTTTGTATATGTCGGCTATCTTTACATGCCCTGTGAGTAGAGATGGTGGGAAGACAATCATTCCTCATGGAACTCTTGTGGCTGATTTGGAGGCCCATACTGTGGAGCACAGTGGCTCTGTAGGACTCTCTGGTTCAACATTCTCTCCAGGGAACTTCTCATCTTATGTGCATCTTTCTTTCAAGGTGTGCCCTTTTTAAATTAGAACTTCATTTTTGTGTTGTTTGGTATCAGAATGGATTAAGGTCTTGCTCTTCATGTACTTTGAAGGCACTTTTGCATTTTATCTCTTAGAAATTGCCTTTTGCATTTCAACTATAAGCAAGGACATGGCATATCATCATATGCTGTAAGATCTGGTATTTCAACCCATTTGCAAGGTTTTATTTTGCATTTTTCTGTGACATTGATTGGAGAGAGAAAAATATATTATTGGGGAAAATTTTCAGCATTGAAGTACTGGTAGTTCAGTTATGATTCAGACAAATGCACTAAACAATCTCCGATGGAGGTTTCACTGCATGTGGATTGAGAATGAAAGTTTGTGATGTTGGGAAAGGGATCAGGTGAGGGAGCGGGAGTCCAATGTGCATGTGATAAGGGATGCAAACCTGAGTGAAAACTGTTTTAGGCCAGGCTCCTGCCCAACTGTATTGTTTTCTGGGAGGGACTTGCAGTTCTCTATAGGGCAGGGGTGGGCAATTATTTTTGCTGGAGGGCCACTTTATGAGTTTTGGTGAGCTTCAAGAGCTCCAGCATCTCAGAAAATACCTCAATAGCACAATCATTGCTTGTCGATCCTATTCATTCCTTTGCAATAAAAACTGGTCAACAGCTTCTTCTACTGCATCACATTTGTCAACCATCCAGAAGCTCACAAAAAAGACTGCCAAGTATATTGCTCTCAAAAACTTTTCATGTCATTCATCTTAGATAGTGTTAAAGTGCTCTGTGGTGTAGCCTATAGGACTGTCTGTGTCAAAGTGGCTCGAAATCTAAAAAATCTCACTCAGTCGGAACAGTTAGATTCCCAATCTCAGATAGCCACAAATCCCAGAGTTGACAGGTTTGACAGTTGGGCCAGGCTATCTTGGGAAGCATGAAATCTTGATAATTAATAACCTGAATCCCAGGACAGCATCATACTAGAAAAGACTAGTCGAAACATGGCTCTTTGAGGAGAGTTGAGGAGAGGAAGGGAAAGAGGGCCTAATAATGACAAACGAAATGAGTGAGCTCAACTCATTCATTGATTACAATAGGTCCTTTCTATGACTAAACTAACTAACATGTTTCCTTTTGTAAGATGGGGTGGTGAGCCGGATTCGGCCCGCAGGCCATATTTTGCCCACCCCTGCTATAGGGGGTTCTTCCTAGATCCTTACCTTCACTTTTCCCCTTCTTGTTCCATGTCCCAGTAGGTTTGCACGAAATGGTTGCATAGTTTTCAGTTATTTCAATTGGTTTATTTTTTGACAGGGGAATATTTTTTGCACAATAGATGCTCCAAAGTTGACAGAGGGTGGTTCCTTCTAAAAGGTGGTGCACTGTATGCAAACAAAAGTTATAATTGTGGTTCATCCTTATGTGCAGTGATAGCAGCACATGCTCACTTGGAAGTATAATTATTTAATTTATTAGATGTTAGTCTAATTTCATCCAAATCTCCTCAATTTCTCCTCTTTTAGGGACACTAAAAAAATTAATTTTCATATCTCATGCTATACATCACTTAATAGAAATTAAGGTGCAGGGCTATTCTTCAGAATCAAGGACACAAGATAGAGCATGATAGTTTTTGAAAGAAGTAGTAAAAAAGTATCATGTTCTGAAACAAAAGTGATCAAATAAAGCTGGGGCATCCTGTACAATTGAAAGAAAAAGATTGGGCTTTTCTGTGTGCTAAGTGATTGGGGTTTTTTTTGTACCCATAGGCCTTGGAAGTTCATGACCTTGAGCTCAGTTACCCCTCCTGCCTGCCCTGTCTTTTTGACCTTGGTTTTTTTTTTTTTATTTGCACAACTTTCAGTTGTTAATTGAGGGTGGACCATAATTCCACAGGGTTTATTTTGTTTGCCAAATTTGAGATGATGATATGCTTCTTCCCAATTCTGATACACGTTTCCACTTTGCATCCTTTTCTTGCAGGTGGAAAAAGAAAAGTATGAGAAGTGTGTGGAGCTCCTGACTGATGTCTTTCTCAACTCAGTCTTGGCTCAAGACAGACTCCTTATCTTGGCCAAGAAGATGCTCAACTTGATTGCACAAGCAAAGAGGCACAGGAGTTACCTTATTAATGCCCTCTCCAATCATTTGATCTTTTCTCCTGGTCAGTGAATGAGTGGATAAATCACTTTTTTAATCTGAAAAAATTTGTGGGTGTGTCCATGTGGAATGGCTGTCATTTTGAATACAGATAGCAACTATCATGTGATGGGAGCCATTCGACAAGAGGGTTTCCTTAAGGCATTGGTCAAGATCCTGAAAACAAAGAATGGCAAACCATTGAAGGACCTTGAGCAACTTCAGAAGAGTCTTTGGGACCCTGATCGACTGATCCTTCGAGTTGCAGCTGATGTTGAATGCTTGGCAAAGGCAGTTGATCCTCAAAAACCATGGCGTGAAATTTTCCTCCCCTCATTGAACAACAAAAATCCTCTTCCTCTGCCTCCTCCTGCCTTCTTTCCCAAGTTAGCTCATCTTTCCTGCCATTTGGTTTCCAGAATCTAGCCCACAAGATTCAGGTTTCTAGATAGAACAGTTTAGAAGTCTTGCAATTTGATTGTCCTTAATGAGGGGATCTTAACAGAGATCTCAGGTCTAGAGCCACCCTTGCATCTTGTTATATCCAATTCAGGAACATTTTGAGAAATAGAGCAGGATTCTTCAGCTGGAAATGGTACATTTAACTTGACCATACTTTACCTTGATTTGCAAGAGAAAAGATTTGATCATGCAAGTCTGATGAAGTCCAGCATCTTATATGAGATTTGACTGTCTTTAACCCTTTGAGGAGTGGGTTTTTTTAATGCCGAGCAGATCACCCATAGTGAATACATGGAGGGCAGGAGGATGTCAGCCTGTATATATATGGGCATACTTTTCAAAGGGTTAATGAAGAAAATCTATTGCAAATAGAATGGGCTGAAGAAAAAGAAATTGTTTCTGTATTCATGAGGAGCTAGTGTAAAAAAAGACCTTATGCTTTCATTTTATTGGCCTGTTCACTTATGACCTTTGCTAATGGGTGTCTGCAGTGCTAGTTAGGTTTGCATTGTGGCACATGATTCTAATGGAAACCTTTTCATACTGTGTTACATTCTCCTGATGTGACTTCCTTGGTATGTTACAGACCATCCTTTGTTCTGGAGAAAGAATTGGTGGCATCAGCCAGTGATATGAAGATTCTGAGTTCTGTACTGGGCCTTGGCTCCCTGGAGAGCATGTCTCTGTTGCAAAGTGCACCATGTGCTCTGACTTATGACCATGAGGATTATCCAGCCCTTCTACTCTTCCTCCAGTACCTCACACAATGTGAGGTGAGTCATTGCATCTAATAGCTTAGAGTCCTTTTTCTTGAAATTCATGGCACAATTGCAAAAAATGCTACAAATAGCTCCATATCAAGAATGATGTTAGTACCAACAATGATACATTTTGTTTCATAACTAAGAAAGCCCACTGTATGCAGTCATTGAAGCACATTTATCAGGAGACAATAGCCATAAAGCAACTCCTGATGGTTGTAACCTTTTATATCAGAAACTAGACATCACTTCACCATGATACCTTGATGATACCTTGATACATGATCTAAAGTATATAATTAAAAAAATCAACACCACACCATCCAAATGAAACTTTAGCTCACTCTCCTGGAATTGCAGTACCAAGAGTCCTCACTAGATGGAACCCATGTTCCCTGCACCTTACAAATGCAATTAAGTACCTGCTTTCCTGATATAGGATATGGTTTTCTTCCAATCCTCCCTCTTCTTGTGCTATTTATAAACATACCTGAGGAAAACATGGAAGCATTATATTTTTATTGCAATACATGACTCAGGGAAATATTAAATGTTGAAAGTATGGGAATACAGGAATGTACGGGAATAGGGAAGAGTAGAATGCGAAACTCCTCATATGACATCTCTCATATCCTCTATGCAAGATAGTACCTGTTTACTCATGTTTTCAGAGTTCTGTGTTGGGTGTGGGAAAGCGATGCGATGTGGGAGTATTTGGTGAGTAATAAGAGAGTACTTTTGAAATAGCTCACATAGTGCACAGTTTTTACTCCCTAAATGCTCGGAATTTTTTAAGAGTGTAGGGCTATAAACAGTATTTCCAGTGAAATTCTCACATTAGGTACTCAAGTCTTCCCCCGGGAAATTATGAAAATCTGGGGGATTCGTAATGTCAACTTGGAGTTGGCTCTGGGATCTTCATGCTTTCATGTAAAATTTAAAGAATCTCGCTAATAACGACACGCGCCTCCATTGCTCGAGCCCCAACCAGATCCACGCCCTTGTGAGTCGATGCTCGAGCACAGTCAGGTGGGGATGCCTTGCTTCAGCATGGAAAGCAGACGGGAGAGCAGTGGAAGCGTTGGAGGTTGTAATCTTCACACTTTTTTTTCTGAGAGGAAGATGCACACCGAAGTGTGACGACTAACGGATGGGATGGAGAGAGGTATTTATTGTCAGGTGTGAGCACGTGTTTGAAAAGGGAAAAACATAATGACCAGCTGCATATCGTCTCTATGAGCAGTTGAAGGTTGAAAGACATGAAAATCTTTGTATGAAAAAATAAATGAACATTGTCTGAGCTCAAGATTTTTTTTAAAGAACACCAAGAACCATCTCGATTTACGAGACAATGTCTGCATGGATGGAGTGAAAAGACTTAACGATAGAATACGACCTTAAATTATGGCTTGTTGCATTGATGTCTACGAAAAGTGCCGATTCCAGAATTAATTGAGCAGGATTTAAAATTGTCGGCTGGACAAGAAGGACCCAGAAGGAGAAAAAGTGCTGAAAATCTGCCAAGTGAGAACTTGGGAAATTAATCCAAGATTTTCATTTTGTCGCCGGATTTGTAGGAAACTTCAATCGATCGACTGAAAACCCTCAAATTATGATTATCTGATGTGCCATGAATTGAGAATTCGATTCCAGAAGTGATGACCTTTTCATGCGCACCGCCCTGCCGGCTCGCTCTTGTCATGTTAATTGCCCTGCTGGATGCAAGGGAAATGGAGAAAATGCAAGTGCAGCAAAACGATGCAAACCCACATGATTCGCATTCCCTTCATGCCGGTGGCCCCATACATCAATACTGAGAACGATGGATAACTATCTGCGATAAGAGGCGAACGAAAATGGGTCTGAGTCCTTTTGGTCGTAATGAAGTACACATTCTAGAAGGACTGGCAGAGAGGAAGTCTGTCTGGGAGGGGAGGCATAAGTACCCTCCATTAGGGAGGCACATGCAATATTTATAAAGCCTGGCGGATTGATGAAGGCAGGCTGCAGGATCAAGTGAAGCTCCGGTTCTTTTCCAGAAATGATCTGGAGTGGTAACCAGAAGCTGAATCGTAATTAGTCTCGTGCGGAGCGGTTCTGGGGTTTTAATTGAATGGCATGGAGACGTGACAACGTCATGAGGGATTTATCTTTCCCGTTGCAACATGGTTGCTGTTGCTTCTTTTTGGAGTCTTCAGGGTTTTTATTTTAAAGATGTTTCCATCGCATGGCATCAGCCTTTCATTTCTGCTTTCTTGTGAGCAGATGAAGCCTGTCATATACAGGGTGATTCCTAATAATATATCCACTATAGCAAGGTCTACATGAATGAGTTAATACATATTTGGAATAATTGATAAATTATTCAAAGGGTTAAAAAAAAAAAAGAAGCTAAAAAAGGTGAAGGGGTCTGAGCACATTTTGTGACACCCAAGATCGGTAACTTATAGGAAACAATAAGGCTAACGTTCCCCAATTTGCCATGCATGAAATATTGAATTTCCCTGGGCAATGCTGGGTACTTCAGCCAGTAATTCCTAAATTATTTTGGAGTTAAAAAACTTATTAGTAAAATGTTTTTATCGTTTTGAAACATTTTCGATGAAAACTTGATCAAAAGAATATTACTTCCTACCTACTGTAGTGATCAAGCAATGGGATTACCCCTGGTACTGTAATGCATGTAGCCGGGAGGGGAGAGTTGGATGGCATGAAAGGATGAAAAAAAGACAGAGGACTGTCGGGAATTGAACCCGGGCCTCCTGATCGCCGGTCAGGTGTGCTACCACTGCACCACTGAATCCAGGAGTCAGTCATTCCTCTCCATGCCATCCCAGACACTAGAGTACCCGGAAAAGTACTCTGGGAGTGAAAATTTTAGATCAAAACATAGCCCTCGACCTTCCCCTGGATGAAAGAGGAGGCCATGGATAGTTTGGTTTCACTGGCTCCTGCAGGGTCTAAATGCATAAAGGAACAGACAGGCAGACAAACTTTCTTATTTATATATACAGGGTGGCCGAAAAGTCACCGTACCCCTATTTACCTTCTCATATATTTTTATACAGTTCGCGAATAGAGATCTAAAAAAATACCCGTGTGCCCATCTCCCATGCCCGCTCAACACAGCAGCGAGAAAAGGAGCATGTGCGACCGGCTGGACAACTACTGCGAAAACTCAGCAGAAATCAGTTTTGGCGGTTAACCATGGCAGACACCCAGTGCCGGCCCTAGCTATTTAGGATTATTTCGTTATTTATTTAGCGAAGTGACTCCCGAAGCGACACTGCTCTCACAATTCGAGAGTATTCACCGGACCTGGCTCCGTGTGAACTTTTTCCTATTCCTCAAGATTAAATTTCACCTGAAAGGAAAAAGATTTGAAGGCATTGCACAAGCATCAAGGAAAATGCAGCTCAAGAGCCTTTCACTCCAGGACTTCCAGCACTGCTCCCAGAAGTTGCAGGAGCATTGGGATAAGTGCATACCATCAAAGGGGGAATACTTTGAAGGGGACAACAAATAATTTTAATGTACTTATTAAAAATAAAGTTTATGGATAAAAGTACTGGAACTTTTTATCAGACCTTGTATATATGAAAAGGTAGATAGGGGCACGGTGACTTCTCGGCCACCCTGTATAGAAATTCACAGACTTCTTTGAATACCCCATCTTGAACTAAGCACTGAAAGGATGGACCAAATTTCCAGGAATCTTAAGAAATCACCAATGGAGACAGTCTCTTCATTATCTTGTCAGCAGGTAATTGAATCTGTTAACTTTTGATTTGATGAAGATTTGCATACACAATTTTCTGGGCTGCTCTCATTCCTCCAATTGACACTTTTTATGATTGTAAAAAAATGTATTCTGTGTTTTTCACTCAGTAGTTCTGTGCACATGTTGACATCCAAATATGAACATTCTTCTCTAGGGCCCATTGTGGAGAAAAGTACGTGGTATGGGACTGGCTTATGGTTACTGGATGCTGCCAGCACCTGTCACTGGCATGCTTTATTTATCCATATCCAAATCTGTCAATGTCCTACAGGCATATATTGAGACCAAAGCTATTGTTGTGAGTCCCTCTTTAAAATCATGTTTCTCTATATTTTAGTTCAGAACTGCAATTCTTCATACATCTGGCTTGCTATCTGGCAGGAAGAACATCTGAAACCTGAGACATCACTTGATGAAGGCTTAGTGGAAAGTGCCAAGAGCTCCCTTCTCTTTGAATTGATTGAGAAAGAAGAGAACATCAATGGACTGATCACTCTTTCTGTATTGTCAATGTTTCAGAATCAAGATGTATTCTACAATAGGTAAAGCCATAAAAATTATTGTCTGACCCATCTCATGGGGGAAAATTGTGGAATGGAGAAATTTTCTTTTTTTCTTACAGGAGGCTTGTGAAGAAAGTCATGCACGTAGAAATGGCAGATCTACTCCGTGTAGGAATGAAATACCTCCTGCCTCTCTTTGACCCAACCATAGTTCGCACTGCAGTAATCTGTCATCCCAGCAAATGCCATGAATTGCAAGCTGCATTTGGAAGGTGAATTTGTTGACTGATCATAATGTCTCACTCCTGAAATTAAAACCCTGTGTTGACAAGTTGTACAATACCTCTAATAGTACCATTAATTTAACCCCTCAAGTGTGTGCAATGTCTTATGCCATTCTTGCACCAACTGCTGGATATGCTGTTCTTGTGCTGGAGGTGCTGCTGCCTACCAGGAAAGTCATGCTTGAGGGGTTAAAGTCTTTGCCATAAAAGAGTTTAAAGTCTTTGCTCTAAAGGAGTTTGCCCAAAGGTAGGGATTATGACCTCACAACCAAATGCAATCACTGTATTGAAATAACCACAACTTTTTATTGCAAGACACCCATGTGTAGCTAAGCCCTTTTGACTGCTTTGTGCCAGGGGAGATGTTTTTATGGAAGAAAGCAGAATTACTTGAATGATGAATGGATAAGAAGTGTAACAGCTTTAGTCTCTCCCACAGTCACCATTTGTGCAATTCATTTCCTGGGCAAGGTTTGTATACTGAATAAAATAATTAAAAGCAATAGAAAGACTATTGCAGTGGAAAGAAAGGACTATTTTTCAGAGGAGCTCTTGTTTTATTTTTGGAATAGAATATCAATGCAGGAAATTTTTGGCAAAGACATAATTAGACAAGTATGGCTTTTCTCGTCAAATGTATGCTTAGTTTCTAGAATCTCCAACATGTGATTAACTGCCATTTTATCATGATCTCTCTAGTTTGGGCTTCTCCATGATGGTAGCCGAGAAAGTGGGTGATAGTATTCTTGGCAAGTATCCATGAGCTACAAGATGCTGTAACTCTTTTCCTACAAAGAGTCAATACTCTTCTTTACTTCCTCATCTACACTGCTCATCCCTTGCTGGATCTCCTCAATTTGCATGAAGGAAATTGTATCATTGTTGGAAATGAAATTCTTAGCTGGTCACTGTGATGGTTTTACTTCTTATCTGGTATGAAGCTTTTGGTTGTTATTGTTATTTGCCCAATGAATTGTAGAATAATCTGAACATAAGGTTGATCTATCACTGTATTGAAATAAGTAGACTACAGGAAGACATAGATGGGTACAATTTTGTGTGGTGACCCTGGTGAAACCTGATGAGCCTGGTGAAACTTAGAAGTATGCTTTTGTTAGAAGGAATTAAAACAAAAAAATCCTATTCTATCTTTGGAAGAAATGAGGATGAGGAATGCATATCAGATAATAGTCCCCAATTGAAATTTACATATCCAAACATCTGCTCCACAAAAACCAAAACACTGTCCAATAGCCAGTTCATTGGTCATAATGAATTGTGAAAACATTTAATTGGTTGTTTTTTCATCAAAGTGTATTTAACCCTTTCTGTACCAGGTTTTCTGATGCATAATGGCACACAATCTGATGCCACACCTGTGCATTAGGTTGGTCCAAAAAATTTATTTGTTTTATATCCAAGTTGTACCCTCCCATTCTTGTACATATCCTGAAATAAAATTGCATGAAAAATCTCAACTCAATTGGTTGATATTTGGAAGCTCAACGAACTTCAATTTTCAGGACGATTCCCTTTTAGGAGACCTACTATCTATCACGTATCCAATTATGTATAATGTATCATCGATTTTTTGGTTTATCCAATATCGTTTCATTCAGATCTTTCTTATACTTTCCTTCTTATACTATTGCAAAATGAATATTTAAAAAGAAATGGCAGGGTTCCAAAGACCTGAAGTAAATCTCAATTATGGCTCTTTGGACAGCCTTTGAGAGAGGTTCCTGGAGATAAATTGCCATCAAAGTAAAAAAAAAAAAATTTTTTTACCTCTAACAATTAAAAGCAATCCATGAAATTGCAACAGAAACTGTTTGAGAGGTTTTGAAATTTTAGGAAAGAGCAAGAAGAATATTAAATAAAAGCAAGAGCATAATGTCAAAATAATAAAAAAAAAAAAAACAAAATTCCGTCATTAACATGAAAGCCAGGTTTTTGTGTATAGATGCTGCATCAGCCCCAGTTAACGATCTTAACATGTTGAAGACTTGATGGATACAAATCCGAGAATGAGAAGGTTGCAGAGGATAAGTGTCCTGATGCATCTGAGGTATTTATGGTATCTGAGTGAATCATTAGTAGCATTGTGCTTATTCTCAAATAAAGTGACAGATGCAGAAAATAATGATATATTTTGAAAGACAAGAAATAAGAAAAAACAAGAAGCTTGAAATGGACAATCCAAAAAACAAAAATTCTAGATTTCATGTCCCCATTCTAAATGTCCTTAGTCGTCACACTCGATACTGATCAACGGTTTTTACTTGAACCGCCTTCTGACATTGACATTGAACAGTACATGGGTGTTGTTAGAAATATAAAGAGTTTGAATGGTTGTCGATAATCCTTGACTACGACCAAATTATCACCAAATAGGAAGAATAGGAACAATACATTCTCTCAAGTTGTTCAGCAGCATCGAAAAGATTTCAAAACGAGCAAAAAATCAGCACTGGATCAGAAGCGTGGAGAAAGTAGGTAACAATAACAGTTGGCACCTGTGAACCTCCTAACGAGGAGCCAATACCTGTATTCAAAATGTGAGAGGAATCTGGTTGCCACGCCACCCCGCCAGGGCTATAACGGCGAAAACTAAACGTCCTTTGAGTGACCTTTAAATATGCTCTGATTGAGCTGATTTTTTGCTCAGAAGTTTACAAAGATGAGGGGTTAAGATTTTAACAATTTAAAAGTTGAAAAAAGTGCTTTTTTTTGGGACCACCCTACTGTACATTGTATGGCTGTGGAACTAAATGGGCTGCCTGGTTGAAAAAGTAAAGAAACAAACAAATTATATCGAGGAGAAAGAATTGAAATGGCAGAATTTTTCGTATCTGTGGACTTTTACCTATTTATCATAATAACCCCTGATGCAGGTAAGCTGTTTTTGAACCAGAGAACAAAGGAAAATGCATCTCTGGAAAGGTACTATCTTTCTTCCAGAAAGAAGTTCGTCCAGGAAGTGGATGACGAGTTTTAGCATATTTGCATTTGGCATATGCATTTTTATCCATGAGTTTTTATTCCCTGCAATACCCGCTTATGACAAACTAGAAACTGAATACCCAGGCATGCAGTAGTGTGCCCAGAAATCCCAATGACATGAAAAATTGGTAACCCATGGGCAAAAAAAATATTCTTTTGAGAATCGAACCTGTAAAATGTATCCCGTGGAGGGGGGTGGAGGGGGGGGATGACCCCCAAACCCCCCCCCCCCCCCTGGGCACGCCACTGGACCCATGGTAATGAGTGAAATGGGATTCTGGCGACAAGGACATGAATGATGTCAGGTCACCAGTTTCACAGCGTAAGGTCCGCTAGAGTTGTGCTCAGCGGTGTAGCGTCCCTCACTTTTCAAGAAAAGAATTTAAAAAATGAAGGGAAAGACTCACGAATTTCAAGATAACTGTACCCCAGAGCTCCCATGCCCCCCCCCCCCCCCACGTTTTGTCCCGTGTCCCCCCAATTTTTCCATCCCCACTACATCTACGATTATGCTAGTAGGACATTCTTGCGGAATTGCTAATCCACTACCCAGCAAACAATATGAAACACATAATGTTGATTCAACGTTGAATCAACATAGCCTTTTTTGCTGCGCATTTGCTTTTTTAGGTCCGATTTGATTACATTTTAGGAGTGACTCAACAATGCAATATGATTCGCGTACATCTTTAATCTTTTGAAGAAATGCGGATGAGGAATACCTATCAGATAATATTCCCTAATTGAAATATATTGGATTGGAAAGAAAGTCTTGCAACACTTTCTAAAACTATTTATAAAAATTGTCAAAGGAATGATGGGCGGGGCTTTGCATTTGTATATGCTGGAATGTTCTTGAAGCTTCTGCCCTCGGGGTATATAAGGCGGCTTCTGCCATTAGTTGGCAGCCATGGCTCCGATCGAACAAGCAACTCTTCGCCCCATCGTCTACTACGAGTTCCTCCAAGGACACTCTGCGAGAGCCGCCGCGGACAACATCTGCGCTGCATTCAAGGGCAACGTCGTCCACTATTCCACGGTGTCTCGATGGTTGAAACGCTTGGAATCTGGCGACACGACCTTCGGAGATCGACCACGCTCAGGACGTCCATCTACAGTCGATGACGAAGCCCTGCGGAACGCCCTCAACGCGA